AGTTCATATATCATGTTTGGCCATTTCTTGTACATATATCATGTTTGACCATCTCTTGTACATATATCATGTTTGACCATCTCTTGTACATATATCATGTTTGGCCATTTATTTTACATATATCATGTTTGGCCATCTCTTTTACACATTTCATGTTTGACCATCTCTTGTACATATATCATGTTTGGCCATCACTTGTACATATATCATGTTTGGCCATCTTTGTACATATATCATGTTTGACCATCTCTTGTACATATATCATGTTTGGCCATCTCTTGTACATATATCATGTTTGGCCATCTCTTGTACATATATCATGTTCATCTCTTGTACAAATATCTTGTTATCATTAGGAGTTATATGTATTTTATCAAACTCTTCTTTTCAACTTGATGAAGAACTTTTCACTAGATGTAAACTTTAAACACAATGGTGGTAAAATGTGGTTCAAAATGGTCTGATATCGTATTTTATTTACTTCATAAATTGTCTAATGGAGAAGGGAAATAAGAAAATTAGTTCCCCATTAATAACTATCACCTCGTTTAACCCTCAGTGACTGTTACTTGTAAGTAAACCCTTTTAATACACATGAATTTTGATTATTCAAACATTAAACATTACATTAGCACCAAGAATAAACAGACCATGAAGATACGTTGGCTGAACGGTATACCAAACAAGCATCTTTGTGACGATAAGTTTCATGGCAAACAACTCACAATTTCAGAAATCGGCTGAAAAATGGAACGGTACAGGAATCGTATATTATTACCAAATGTAAATAATCAGTAAAAAACGCTTCGTTATATTTTGTGTATCTAACAGTTGGATTTCCTGATAAGAAAATTAACTCTTTCCATGAAATGTTACCCTGATAGCTACATTGTATGAAATCTAACGTATATGATTAAAGACAAACCATGTTTTGATACAGCTTTGAGATATTTTTGTCATGCAGGCATCTGGTCTACTGTCATGCATACTTGTTTCTGACTTGGTGACGTCAGGAATCGCGTCAGACTGGCTTGATAAGGTAGGTCACTACAAACCTGGCAGTCACGTGACAAAATCTCAAAAATATAAGATATACAATGTAGATAGCTTTTATTTCACCAATGATCGTCCCAGTATCTTTCGACGGTCTTCTACACCAGTAACATTTACAATGGCGTTCATAAAAGGCGAGGGATAAAAAGAAAAATAATTCATAATAAGTTTTAAAACAAGCAACAAGAGCGGTAAAACGGTAAGCGATACATAGATACTGGATGGTGTTTTTTTTATTCTTATAATTTGGATTTTTTTGTTCTATTTGGAATTAGAAATCATATTTCAAATTTCATTACTGCAGGAATATCAAAATACATTACTAATTTTAAGAAAATTGTAAAACGGAGTTTTGAAAAAAGGGAATTTTATGCTGACATGTTGTATAAAATGTGTCAACATATTGACAAATATAAACGTCATGAAGAATCAGATCAGTATGTTATAATTAAGAACAAGATGTGTATGCTATAATTTGCAATCCGAATGGTTTGTTATAATAAACAATCCTATTTGTAGGGTAAGTTTCGCACCGATTTGACACCCTTCACAATTTTGGTGACAAGATATGATCGATCACAGGTTAATCATATCAGTGCTTCCGATTATCGACAAATACTTTATGATCAATCACGTGTCAATCATATCCGTGCTTCCGGTTATCGACTAAAATATCATGATCGATCACAGGTCAATCATATTCGTGATTCCCGTTATCAACTAAACTTTTATGATCGATCACAGGTCAAGCATATTCGTGCTTCCGGTTATCGACTAAAACTGTATGATCGATCACAGGTCAATCATTTCCTTTCTTCCGGTTATCGATTAAAAGTTTATGATCGATCAAAGGTCAAGCATGACCGTTTATTCGGTTATCGACTTAAACTTGATTAAACTCTCAGTGGTCATGGTTGAGGTGAATTCAAGATTCAAGTTACGCAATGTGAAGATGTTATAACCTACTCGTATCATCTAGTTACATTATCTCTTTGTACAACGAGGAGGGTACAGGTATGGCCCTAGTTAGTACGAGGAGGCTACAGGTATGTCTCTGGTTAGGACGAGGAGGCTACAGGTATGTTTCTAGTTAGGACGAGGAGGCTACAGGTATGGTCCTAGCTAGTACGAGGAGGCTACAGGTATGTCTCTGGTTAGGACGAGGAGGCTACAGGTATGTTTCTAGTTCG